GTCTTTACAACAAACGTTGACGGAACCAAGTTAAGAAGGTACATTTCCTTCTCTTAGGCATCTCCCTTGAACAACATTGACAAAGATGAATAACTGAACATGATCTTCACCAAGTCTAGAAATGTTTGATTTTTGCATACTGCAACTTCATTCAACTAATGCGTTCTTAGAGTTGACAGTTACGAAAACTATCCCCTCTTAAATCAGGTAAGACCTGAAATTACCAGACAGGTAGCCAAACACTTTAGTAGACCAAAGTGGTTTTTGATTTGAACACCTACATGCTTTTCTGCCTCAGACTAAACCTCTTGGAATTTCCAAAAGCTTTAGACTTATGGCGCACTTGGTTCATCTGTCCAAATCCAGAGTAAACATTCATATAATGAAGTACTCATCACCTCTTCTGGTCTGAACGCTAATTGGTCCACATACATTAGTATGTACCAGTTCCAGTTGAATAGTTGCGCAAACCTTTTTGGCCCTTGTAGGATTGCTTGGCCACTTTACCTTCCAAATAGGACTAACATGTAGCTGTTAGTTAAAAGATTCTTGAACTTTCAGTATCTCTTTTAACTAAAACATATTTTCTACTTGAGATAATGTGACTCAATCACAAAGGCCAAAGTTATGTTTCATTTGAAACTTTTATTCTTTGGTGAAAATCCTTGTTCATCATCCTTTCCATTCAACACAAAAATTTAGGGGGTATAGGACAAAGGTAATAAAGACTATTTAAACAATGTACCAGAAAAAACAAGACGAAGATGAACTTCGAAATGTAACTGAGGAATCAATTGCATTGTCAACCCATGTTTTAACCAAAACAACTAACAAAAATTGAATTCCTCTTGAAATCTGGAACAAATAAACAGTCACCCAAAACCATAGTTTTATTAATAACTTGTCCTACTGCAAATGCAGACACAAGTTCCCAATTTCAAGCTTAAAATATCTATGTCCATTGCTGACAGGTATGCCATGTTTGAACTACTACAAAAAGTAACAAACATAATCAGTGATTCCTGAATCAATAATTCGTTCATTGATCAGGCCTTGATATGCCCATGTCTGGTTCTTTTCATCACCTCTGGGCAATTTTTCTTTCAGTGTCCCTTTAGTCTGCACTTGAAGAACTTGCCTTGCGGCTTCTTTATAGCAACTGGTTTGACAACTGATAGCCAAGTCATTTTGTTCTTATTACAACCCTTGGGTTTCCCTTTGGATTTAACAAGACTCTTAGCAAAACCTACACCGACTGCATTCTGTCTAGCAGAGCTGCTAGATGCAGCAAACATGTCATTAAGAGTCTGAAGCATTTTTACTCCACTCTTAATCATGTACACTTGCTTTTGCAAGTATTTGGAAAGACTGACAATAATATAGCAACGAACTACCATATCTGCCCTTTCTCAATCTGAGAAATGCATCTTAGTTTCCTTAAACGCTTTCTCTGCAGGTTGCTATGGCCCTCACATTGTCAGGACAAATTTTAGCTTCCATGTTTTAGAACAATATCAAAGATTTGCTTTTCACTTATTCATAGTTGGTACCATCTATAGGTTTTCGACTCAAAATCATTTCTAAGATATTTTCTGAAAAACATATAAAGCACACAATTACAAACAAATAATGCAATAAACAAACGAAGTGCAAGTAGATTCTCATAACTACTCTTGTTTATTGTTAACAATCCTTTAGTTTATCTTTACAAGGCTTACGATGGGCAAGTCACTCGTAAAAACCAAAATTGTTATTTGGGCCTTCAGTGCCATTGCCAGAGCCTCGATGGGAGGGTTAACAATTTTACCAAAGTTGAATGTAATTAACCATTGTTTAATTTCAAAATTATCCTTAGTGTCTAAGCATTGCCGACGATGGGCCGTACAATACTTTACTAAAATTTTGAAATTATTAAGATTTAATCTAGTGAAATCTGATTATCCTTATCCGATGGGGCTTCAGCGATAACCATTTCACTAATAAACCCACAAATGGAGCCCGCAGGTTTTAAAATTAATTAATTTTTAAAAACTTCACCCATTCAACATTTTTGTTTGAGAATTTTCATAAGCCCTGTCGAATTCATTGTTTAATTTCAAAATTATCTTTAATAACTTAGTATTATCGACGATGGGCCATACAATACTTTATTAAAATTTTGAAATTATTAAGGCCTAATAAAATCCAATCATGCTAATCCGTTGGGGCTTCACATGATTATTTTATTGATAGGCCCTCAATGCGCCTGGAGGTTAAATTAATTTCTTAATTTAAATCTCCTCCCATAGATATTTAAGTCCAATCTAATAAAATCCAATCATGCTTATTCGATGGGACTTCACGTGATTATTTTATTAATGGTCCTATAATACGCTTGAGGTTAAATTAATCTCTTAATTTAAATCTCCTTCCATTCAACATAAGCAACATTTTCTAATTTCCAAGAATTATTTAATTGAGAGTATCCTTTGTTCGATTTCAAAAACTATATAAGTAAGAGCACCGATAAACGTGCACTAAGCTTAACATAATTTTGAAAGCATTAAGGTCCTGAAATCCGGTCACTTTACGTCAGCGTGTGCTCCAAACAATCATGATACATGAATGTTGTATGCAGCGTGTGTTATTCCATGACCATTTCAGAAAAACCCACAAATTACTCGCAAAATAAAAGAACTCTCTTAGGAAATTTTCTCTAATTATTTTTCTAGATTTAAATCATCCAAATAGCTGACTTAATTATTAATCTACATTGCAACAATCATAATAATTATCATTTATGAGGATAATTTGAAATCAAAATAATTTCCATAACGATTATTTGTCTTGATGTTAATTATCCAAAATTAATTAATTCAATTATTAATCTAGATTTTTAATAAAAATCATAATAATTATTAATTAATTTCTTAGGATGATTTAAAATCAAAATAATCCCATAATAACTATCATACTAGTCGCTGAAGACATAATAGCTATTATGCTCATGCAATCATACAAGTTATGCAACAATATGGCACCACCTATTCTATATGGCATGTTATCGCAATAAAGCATGTTATCTATCATATAATTTATACCAATCAATAAAAGCATTAAATAATAAATCATAATTACTTTAATCCATGGCCTTCCTATTTTAAAGAAAATAAAATAAAATAAAATTAAATAATACAACTTTGGAATTCAACTTTCGCCTAGCCCATAGTATCTGTCTCAAGCCCCTTTAGGGTTTCATGGGCCCAAAAGCCCAAAGACCCAATCCTTTGGCGAGAAACCCTAGGACGCGAAAGAGGAACCCTAGCCGTCAGGTCTGCCGCGCCGTCACCCGAAGTCAAATCAGGCTGAATCTCCAGGGGAAGGACCGCCACGTAGAGACGAGTGCACCGCCGCCGGAATCACCCAAAAAGGTGGCCGGACGCTCCTTCACTCTCCCATTCTTTGCCGGAGAGTGGCGGCCACTCTCAGAATCTTGTGGAGGCGCGTGGAGGCGCGTGTAAACTCAGATGGCGGTAAGCCACCCACCGTTGAGTTCGTCTTTCCGTCCTCTTTCCAACCATATATAGATCGCCTCATTCCGAGATCGGGAAGACCTCGAAAAGTCTCCGACAGTTCTGACTGCGCATCTTACTCGCGGTTTCTCGATCTTGAACTTTTACAAAATATTTGAAAAATACACAGAAATTCCAAACATAAACAAAAACAGCAAGGAGGAAACCTAATCATATGGGATTAGCCTCCTTGTTACAAATCGAGAAATACACGAGAGATCCTAACCATGGATTAAAGCATTTTTACTGATTAAAATTTAAACTTTTATGAAAATGAATTATAAAATACACATGCTAGATTCATACCATAATCCTAGAACCCTAGGTGCCACATTTCAAGAAGCAAAACTAATTACATGAATAGTGAAACTAGATTCACATACCAATGTACAGCCAAGGCTCTGATACCAATTGAAGGAAATCTTAGATTTATGCGGAAGCGGTTTAGGACCTAGTACATTGGTATGCTTACCGAATCATCATTGTTTCACAATTACCTCTCGGTGCGCAGGTCTTGTGTAGAATCTTCCTTTGTAGGATTCCTCTTCACGAACAGCTCACCTCAGCGCCGCAGCACGAACAACCTTCTTGAAGTTGGACTGTGGCAGATCTTCCAAACTATCTCTCGAGGAGGAAGGGGAAGTGTGTGGGCACTGATTAGATTCAGAGCTTGCCTCTTTCTCACAAAAAAGACCTTGGAGGCTGATGACTTAAGAGGTACTATTTATATGGATTCCAAGAAACCCTAGCTCATTGGGCTCTAGGTTCCTTGGGCTCTTCTCATACTAATAACCCATTTGGGCTTTAGTAAAAGAGCAAACCCAACATGTATAATATGAAAAAATATTCTCATGTAAAATGAGAAAATTAATTTCCATATTTTATACTATCAAATTAATATAAATTTTAGATTATTTAATTTTTCCCCAACTAAATTTTTATAATTTCAACCTATTAATAAATTCTATTTACTTATATCTAATAATATCTATATTTTGTAATAACAAATGATTTATATCTTGCGGCAACAATTATAAATTATAATCAAAATTTATTAAGAAAATATATGTATTTTTTTTAGGGGCATGTTATATTTACAAACTTTTTTGTTTACAAACTTTTATAAATTACACTATATTCTCTCGGGAGAATACAAACTTTTGCAAACTACACTATGTTCTTCCGGGAGAATATAGTATAATTTATAAAAAAATTTGAAAAAGTTTGTAAACTGTCCCTTCTTTTTATCCAAAAAAATTAAGCAATTGCGATCACGAAAGGGGATGACTGACGAGCGAGATAAAATGAAAAATAAAAAAGAATTGAAAAAAAGTAAAATTCAAAGATAGAAAACAAATGATATTTATTTTTTTATTTTATTTAATATTTTTTTTTTTAAACTAAAAACTACGCGGAGAGGGCTTTCGAAGGGTTTATTAATGGAGGAATTACGATGGTAACGCTGAAGCGAGGTTTAGCTTGTGCGGCTTCACACCAAACAACACCAAAACCTTGTAAACTGATTCATCATTTTCATGGGTCTCAAGCACGATCCTTTGCAAGAACCCACCAAACAGTGAGTCTTCATCTTCATGTCTTCCCTTCTTCCATTTTTTCTGTTTTTTTTATTATTATTTAATTTCTCAGTTTAGTGATTATTTTTTACAATGTTGGAAACTATTTATCATTGGTTTGTGATGTGTTGTGTTGTTATTTCAACTCCCTTGATCTTTTCTTGCCTAAACTTTTTGTGGGGTTGAGTTTTTTTTTTTTTTTTTTTTTTTTTTTTTTCAATTTTCTATATGCTAACGTTGGTTTTTTGTCAACTAAGGTTCAATGGGGGCAACCAGTTACCCAATTACCCTTTTGGTCATTCTGGCATTGACAAACAGTTCCTAACTGCTCCAATAAAATCTGCTGTTGACAAGTACCAGCTTCTTCCTGAGTTTCTTAAGGTAACTCATTGTATAATATTATTGGTTACATGATGATTTATGATATAATAATACATGTAACGAATTTTTCAATAACTGCTTGTCACTGAATTTGGATTTTGTAGGTTAGAGGATTGGTGAAGCAACATTTGGATTCCTTTAACTATTTTGTGAGAACCGATATTAAGAAAATCATTCGTGCTAATGACCTTATCGTGTCGCCTAGGTACCCGCATATTTATCTAAGGTACTACCAATGGTGGTTTACTTATTGTTTGTTCAATTGGTGTGTCCTATAAGCTTTAAGTTATGGATGATTGGATGACACCCTCTGATTTTCTTAATCAGTTAATTCTGATAAGCCGTGGCCGTTAATTTGAACTTCTTCTTCAATTGTTCTTTAGTCTTCACAAGATTGAGCTACTATAAGTTGTTTTACTGATGTGTTAATGTACAATGAGTTCTTTTGCAGGTTTTTGAATGTCAGAATTGGTACCCCGTCGATAATAGTTGATGGTAGTCCCGAGAACATTACTCCACAGACGTGCCGTTTATCTGACCAGACGTAAGATTCATTTCCCTCAGAAACATGAACTTATGTTTTTTATTGGATATTGCTTTGGTATTGATAAAATTCTTGTCAACATGCAAAGGTATCATCTTAATTTGCTTCTTAAGTTCTATAATGCTTCAATTTGTTTTAGCGTACTTTTAATGATTGGAAGTTATAGTTAGACCAAATGTTGTGCTTAACCTTTTATGAATTATGATTCATAATATGCTGTCTAATAAAAAGGTATGCGGCTCCTATATTGGTTGATGTTGAGTACACTCAAGGAAGTCACGATAACCCAAGAAAAGAAAAGAAGGTATGCGAACACTTCTATAATCCGAATTTGACAAAGCAACTGTATTATCATCTTTTTTTTTTCACAGACCAATGTTGTTATTGGAAGAATGCCTATTATGTTGCGGAGTTGTTGTTGTGTCTTGTACGGGAGAGATGAAGATGAACTTGCAAAACTTGGTTAGTATGGATTGGGAGCACATATAGTTAGATCTTTTTGGTCATATTTTTGTATTAATCCTTTGCTTTTCTCATTTTTTATAAGATCTTACATGCTTCAGTTTTCTTTTGATTAGGTGAGTGTCCCCTCGATCCTGGAGGATATTTTGTAATTAAAGGGACTGAGAAGGTGATATTCTGACTCTTTTGTTAAATGCTCTCAATGTCAGAGACACTGCCTATCATTTAATCTGTTGAAGATCAGCTGACTTTGTCAAAAAATTTGTTTGAGGAGCTAATTGTTGAAAGGTTAAAGAGACAGCGTAAGAAATCAAATGTAAATTGATAAAATATCATTACAAGAATTAATGGAAAAGCATTTTAAATTGACATGTTGGAGATCAGTTGTTCTAATTAAGAATCCTTGACAGTAGCTTTCGTTTCTTATTTTTTCTACTCTGTTCTTAACAATTTTCCTTTTATCTTTTTTGTAAATAGTTTTTCATTTTTCATTTATTTATGAATTATGACTGCACTAATCTATTTCAGGTGATTTTAATACAAGAGCAACTTTCAAAGAATAGAATAATTATAGACACTGACAAGAAAGGAAAGTAAGTAATTCTTCTTGGTAAAAATGTGCTTTATTCTTTACCTCTTCGTATATGCGTATACATAGAGGCATGTATGCAAGTATGGTTTGGGGCCTCTTCTTACCTACCTCCCCATTTTTGTGCTACCTGGTAGGCAAGTACGAGCGCTATTGGTTGATATATTTTTCTCACATCAGGTACTATAGTGTTGTCAAGTAATTATGAGGTTCATTCCTCTGTTATTCCCTTCTTCCTTTTAACTAAAGGTAGCTCTGAAGCTCAGGTTCTGGGAGAACTTCTAGCTGCCAGTGAGGAACTAATGAAATACAGTTTCATTGGTTAATTTTTTAGTTTCTTATTGAAGATCCTAGATTAAGTCTCTGAATTTACTTTTTTGTTAAAGGAAGGATTTCATTACAATGAAGAGAAAAATTTATGAAAAGAAGGGTGTTAGAATATTAGATATGATATGATTAGATTTGATTAGATATGATTGGATTCTGTCTTATCCGTAAATAGTCTGACTGTATTCTGACTGTATTAGGATTAGGTTTGGATTAGGTTTGGGCCTTACACTTAAGCCCATTAGGGTCTCTATATATTGTAACTCCCTGACACAGATCAATACACAACGTATTCTTTTACATTTAACTTGGTATCAGAGCTCTTTCGTTCTAGGAACCCTCGCTTCCGCTCAGAAACCTTGTTTTTTGCTTTAAAAACCTAAGCCCACTGCTTAGGAGTCCACATTCTTGCCGTGCGTCCTTCCGGCAAGCCTTCTAGGGCTGTAAACAGCCTCTGAGTGATTTTTCCAAACGCGTCAGCACCTCCGACGGCCACCGGAACCACCGCCCGCCGTCAGAATCACTGTTCAGGCAACCGAAGACTTTTTCCGGCGACTTTTCCGACCAAACTTCACGCGATCAGGACCCTCTCTTCCCGGCGACCAGGTCTGTGGTGGTCCGGTCAGCACCGCATATCCCACGCGCCGTCACGCGCCACCTGTCTTCACTGCGCGTGGGCTTCACGCGCCACCTTCTGCCGGCGCGTGAGCACTATTCCGGCGGCTTTTTCCGGCCGGTCTTGGACAGAGAAGCTCGCCTTCTCCTCCCCTTTCTGGATCTGTGATTGTTTCTCTGTGGGTCTGACCTTAGACGCGTGGTTCTTCTTGATTGGATATCGTTTGCCTTCGTTTACGGCTTTTATATTTTATCTTTAAATGGCAGCAACATCTCCTGATCTCTCGGAGGTTAACTCTCCTTCTATTGTTGCAAATATAGCTCAGTCAGACAAAGCATCATTTGGTTCAGGTTCGGACTGTGTTGCACTCCAAACCCCTCTCAGGAAGGCTTCTCATCAGTCTCAGCCTTATACTGGTAATCCCGTTGCTTGTGTTTCTCATTCTACATCACTTGGATATTTGACTCCGGTGCTACCGATCATCTCTGTGGTAATAAGGAACTCTTTACATCTCTTACTTATTCTGATCATTTACCGTCTTTTACCCTTGCGGATGGAACCAAAGCCCCAGTTCGTGGAATTGGACAAGCTCGTCCGACCTCTACCTTGGCCCTGACATCTGTCTATTACATTCCTGGCATCCCTTATAACTTAATTTCTATTAGTAAGTTGATCCACTCCCTCACTTGCACCATTACTTTCTCTAACCATTCTGTTTCTGTGCAGGATCCGGGTACGGGGAAAATGATTGGAGTGGGTCGTGAGTCACGGGGGCTTTATTATCTGGATGTGCCTCGTCCTTCAGTAGCATGCTCTCTCACAGAATCTCCACAACTTATCCACAGTCGCCTTGGTCATCCAAGTCTTTCAAAGTTGCAGAAAATGGTTCCTCTTTTGTCCGGTCTTCAGTCTGTAGATTGTGTGTCATGTCAACAAGGGAAGCATACACGCTCCTCTTTTGCCAGTCGAGTCAATAAACGAGCTGATGCCCCTTTCTCTCTTGTTCATTCAGATATCTGGGGTCCAAGTCGTACCTTGTCTGTCTTAGGTTTTCGGTATTTCGTTACCTTTATTGATGATTTTTCCCGTTGCACTTGGACCTATTTAATGAAAAATCGTTCTGAGTTATTTTCCATTTATAAAAAGTTTTCTACTGAGATCCATACTCAATTTGGTGTTTCTATTCGTATTCTACGTAGTGATAATGCTAAGGAATATGTTTCTATTGATTTTTCTAATTTCTTGGCCACACAAGGTACTTTACATCAAACTACTTGTCCTCACACTCCACAACAAAATGGGGTGGCTGAATGTAAAAACAGACATCTCATTGAAACTGCCCGTACCCTTCTTATTCATATGCAGGTTCCTCTTCACTTCTGGGCAGATGCTGTACTCATCTCTTGTTTTCTCATCAATCGCATGCCTTCATCTGTGCTCCACAATGACATTCCTCATAATCTATTGCTTCCAGATGTTCCTCTTTATCCTCTAACTCCACATGTCTTTGGTTGTACTTGTTTTGTTCATGATCTCACTCCTGGTAAGGATAAGTTAACATCCAAAGCCTTTCAATGTATCTTTCTTGGTTATTCTCGTCTTCAAAAGGGTTATCGTTGTTATTCTCCCGACCTTAAGCGTTACTTAGTTTCCGCTGATGTCACTTTTCTTGATCAACAACCCTTTAATTCTATCCCATCTCAGATGTCACAGGTTGATCATGTACTTCCTGTCCCTTTTCTTGACTTGTCTTTGCCAGCTGCAGGTGCTTCTATTCCAGATGAGCAACCTATTGCTTCTATACTTGAGGACCGTCCACTTCTCACCTATCAGCGTCGCAAAACTGTGCCTCCTGTCGACTCGACTCTTGCTGACTCATCGCCCACTGCTATTGCTTCTTCCCCTCCGGATCCTTCATCAGAGACTCTTCCCATTGCTCAAAGAAAAGGTACGCGTACTACTCGTAACCCTTATCCTCTTTATACCTTTTTGAGTTATGACCGTCTTTCTTCACCTCATTTCACCTTTGTTTCTAGTCTTTCTTCTATTTCTATTCCTAAGACCACAGGTGAAGCACTTTCCCATCCAGGGTGGCGCCAAGCAATGCTTGATGAGATGACTGCACTTCATTCCAATGGCACTTGGGACCTTGTTTCTGCTCCTCCAGAGAAGTCTATAGTTGGTTGTCGCTGGGTTTTTACTGTGAAAGTTGGACCTGATGGCCATATTGATCGTCTCAAGGCACGTTTAGTTGCCAAGGGTTTTACTCAAATCTTTGGCCTTGATTATAGCGATACATTTTCTCCGGTCGCTAAGATGGCGTCAGTCCGCCTCTTTCTTGCCCTTGCTGCTGTTCGTCACTGGCCACTCCTTCAACTTGACATCAAAAATGCCTTTCTTCATGGTGATTTACAAGAAGAAGTTTACATGGAGCAACCACCTGGTTTTGTTGCTCAGGGGGAGTCTGGAAAGGTGTGTCGTCTTCGGAAATCCTTATATGGTCTCAAGCAGTCTCCTCGAGCATGGTTCAGTCGCTTCAGTTCTGCTGTTCAGGCATTTGGCTTAATCCGCAGTAAAGTTGACCATTCTGTGTTTTATAGGATTACATCTCCTGATAAGTGTATCTATTTGTTAGTCTATGTTGACGGCATCATTCTCACCGGAAGTGATCAAGACGGAATTCGTCAGTTAAAACAGCATTTGTTTAGTACATTTCAAACAAAGGACCTTGGGAAGCTGCGTTACTTCTTGGGAATTGAGGTGGCGCAATCAAGACAGGGCATTTCTATCTGTCAAAGGAAATATGCCTTGGATATCCTAGAAGAAACTGGTATGTTGGGGAGTAAACCAGTTGATACACCTATGGATCCTAATGTCAAGTTATTACCCGGACAGGGGGAGCCGTTATCTGATCCTGGACGTTATCGGAGGCTAATTGGGAAGCTCAATTATCTTACTGTGACTAGGCCAGATATTTCTTTCGCTGTCAGTACGGCCAGTCAATTCCTTGATTCCCCTTGTGATTCACATTGGGATGCTGCTGTGAGGATCCTCCGATACATCAAAGGAGCACCAGGAAAAGGTTTGTTGTATTCGGATCAGGGAAATACATAAATTTGTGGTTACTCAGATGCCGATTGGGCAGGAACATCCTCGGACAGACGCTCTACTTCTGGTTATTGTGTCTTCTTCGGAGGAAACTTAATCTCATGGAAAAGTAAGAAACAACCTGTTGTTTCCCGATCTAGTGCAGAAGCTGAGTATCGTGCAATGGCAAATACTACCTGTGAGTTGATCTGGTTAAAGCAGTTGATTCAGGAGCTTCATCTTTGTGAACAGAAACAACCCATGACACTCATCTGTGATAATCCAGCTGCGCTACATATATCCTCTAATCCTGTTTTTCATGAGAGGACCAAACATATAGAGATTGATTGTCACTTCATTCGGGAAAAGATTCAGTCAGGAGAAATCAAGACAGCTTTTGTCAACTCGTCTAATCAACTAGCAGATGTTTTCACTAAAGCTCTTAGAGGTCCTCGGGTTGAATACATTTGTAACAAGCTTGGTGCTCATAATATATACGCACCAGCTTGAGGGGGAGTGTTAGAATATTAGATATGATATGATTAGATTTGATTAGATATGATTGGATTCTGTCTTATCCGTAAATAGTCTGACTGTATTCTGACTGTATTAGGATTAGGTTTGGGCCTTACACTTAAGCCCATTAGGGTCTCTATATATTGTAACTCCCTGACACAGATCAATACACAACGTATTCTTTTACATTTAACTAAGGGAACATAAGGAATCCTACTACACAAAAGAACAAGACAGTAGATAACAAAGAAATCCTCCATAACAAAAGAGAAAACAACAAAGGAAAAAGAGAAAATTAATGCAAAGTTTCTGAATCCTTCAATGTATCTATTAAAGAAACCCCATTAGAAAGGCCATGTTCTTTAAACAAAATAGAAGCCAATATACCAAATCAAGGGTTCTACCATTGAAACCTTAAAAATATGAGTTATGCTCCAACCAAATGCACCAAAGTGTAA